GGCCCTTTCGACAGCCAGGCTGACACGAGGCTTGCCAAAGGACCCCCATGCACCCCGCGTGCCTGTTTCGGGGGCCACAGGAGCCAGCCTGTTGCAGCCTCTAACTAAAGCCATAGGAGGGGACTGGAATTTCCTCACAACATTCTTGGCCTACTGCCTGAAGCCATAATTACTGTTCCCATGGCAAAGATCCTGGCTTGATCACAAATCACTTCTATGCAGTCAGCCCCTATCACACTCCAGCAAACCCCGTTTTAAAAATTAACTTCTCGAATGCCACAGAAGCATGCTTTTTTTTTTCCCCCCCCCGGAAGCATCATCTTTCAGAAAGAGCCCAACTTAACCAAGAAACTACAAGACTGGTCAGCACCTAAACTGTTCTGAGGCTTTTTCGATCACTGAACTCCAGCTTTGAAGAACAATGCCGTACCATGGTTCGTCCTCTTCCCAGTGAGCCAGAGACCACTGCAGAGCAAAGAGCCAGTGATGCCCGGGCGAGTTAAAGAAAGGGAAGGGGTGAGATCCCAGGGGGTGATCTCGATCGAACTTCAGGGGTCAGACCCAGTGTCTCTGAGTTCAAATCCAGTGCCTCCATCTTAAGGCCATGTTCCCTTTTCAGACAGCAATGAAATTAAGGGAAGGAATAGGTGTGAAATCCCGTGTTTCTGATCAGCAGGACATCCCAGACAGCCAGGCATCCAAAGCCCCGCACCAGAACCGTAATGAGCTTCCCAAATTCATACCCATCACACTGAAGGGCCTGTGGACAGGGCTAAATGGGGAGCCCAGCCCAGCACTACAGTTGCCCCCCTTCTGGAAAACAAAAACCACGGGGCAGCACAGTGCTCTGGTAGGAAGCCCTGAGAGCACCTGGGGACTCCTCAAGTTACAGAATCCAAATGTGACAAAGACCTCAGAATGATTAATAGCAGTGGGTGTGGGTACCCTTAATATATACATTAAGGATTGAGGAAATCCTAAAAAAGGTGCCAGCACCCTGTCTTTTACAACGATGAAGTAGAGCCAGCTGGCACGTGCTCTCACAAAGCCCTCAATTTCAAAGTTAACCTAGTGACCAGCAACACCTAGGGCAGGACAACCAAGAGGCCCCCAAAGTTAGCCTGGACAATCAGCCCAGCAGTGTTTAAGTCACAAGCGCTTTTCCTACCAGTCTGAGAATTCCCCAACTTTGGGACATTCCAGTCAATAGCAGAGCACTGGAACGGCCTTACTGGTGTCCCAGTAACGTATTGCCTAAAGCACGACACAAGCTGACAGCTTTGGGGGACTGTAATTCCAACACCTTAATGAACTGGATGCAGTTCCTATCTTCTTTGTATGTACATGGCAAGAATTAATAAGTTTACACCTCAGATCAAAAACCCAGTTTTCCAGCTCAAATTTTCATGTCTAATTTAGATGTTCAGCCAGCAAGCTGTCTTCTAAGCACAGCTTTCAGAACAAAGTAGCTCTGTCTCCACCTGAATCTCACTGCTATGCCTAGGTTTTATAAAGTTAGTAGATCTTTTAAGTTATCAAGCAGTTCTAAAGAACATGTGAAGGGGGAATCAGTTAATCCTTGAAGCGACTTCAGTGATGCCCCAGGGATCAAACAAATGCCAGTGGATGAACAGAGCTCTGTCACTGCAGTTACTTCAGCAAAGGCATCACCGAAATGCTGCTGAGGTACTACAGAAGCCCTCTGCAGTCCCTTCCAACTACCCCCTGGCAAACCAAGGGGGGGCAGACTGAAGCAGAAGCAAAATTTCAGAAGAGCCAGAGCTGACGAGGCTGTACACTCACCAGAGCAAGTATTTTTAAGCAGCAATTGATACTCAATTTGATTGCACAGCTTTCTGAAACAGAGATGCTTGTGCCTCTCGCCGTGCAAGAGTCCTGCAGTCCAAGGATCTCAGGTAGCAGCGCATGGGGAAGCTGCCCGGAGGCAGCTGACCTGCAGACAGCCATGCGGAGGCCGGCATGAGAGAGAAGCCTTTGCTTCGTTCCTAGCTGTGCACAAACAGGATCCTAACCCATCGAAGCAAAGTCGTGACACAAATAACACGTTACACCACAGCATTGAGGAACGTACTTTTATTGCATGACCTACAGAGGCATATTCAGTGTCTTATTGAAACATGGTCAGATAACATGGCTATGTCAAAAATAATTTTAAAACTTACCTTTATCAAGATGATTCAACTTTCCTTTTCGCTTCTGCCACTCCTGAAATTTTGATTCAACTTTCTCAAAACCTGCCTCGCCTGACTTGACAGGAATCCTCATTTTTGATGCACGCTTTTGTCTCACCACTTCCCACCCTGCTGTCCAACTGCCATAATCGTGGATACAGCTCTGTCCTGGGCTGGGAGCGAAGGCTCCTGGATGGGTTTTCTCCCAATCCTCATTTTAGATGTCTGACTGTAGTGGGGACTGAAACCACCCCCACAGATGGGAGCGATGAGGCACGCAAAACCACATCCTGGAGCTTTTCAAGATTCACTGAGGACTACAATTACAGTTTCAGAAGCTTCCTGGTCAAGTTTAGTTATGTAAAACCACTTCTTAAAGCTGAAGAAACCCAAAGCTGCAAATTACGCATTGTTAGAATCAATCGGGGACTTTTACCTAGGTTAATCCATTTACTGGAAGATGCTGTATCAAACTCCACAGCAGTCTGGGCATGACTTAGCTCACAGCCATTACAGAAGCTGGACTATTAACCAACCATATCGTCCAGGCTCAAGCCTTTCCTCCTCCTCTTAGGGCAAACTGAACTCCCTGCAGCAAGGTTCTCAACCAGAACACTACAATTCATTCAAATTTCAGATTCCACGAGAAGGAAAAGTCAGAATAACCTTTCCCTTGCAGCCATTAGAGCCCCTTCGCGTGTTTAAAGCTTCTCAAACCCTGAAGCGCTAACATGCCTGTGCTTAACAGCTGATTTTGTACTTCCAACACAAGAAACTTTGCTGCCTAGGAGCAAGCTCTCTCCAAGGCTCCCACCTCATTCCGCAGCCCTGAGAGCTCACACTACAGCCGCTCAGCCCCGCTTCAAGTGAGTCCCATCACACCCAGCCTCACCACGCCAGCCTGAGCTGCCACACCAACTCCTCCTCGGTTGCCAACGCAGACGCTAACGCCACACAGTTCGTCCATTAAAGAGCTGTCGGTTACCAGTGCGAGGGCCAACATCGCATCCATGCTGTCTAATAAAGAGAACCCGCAGGGCTGAACTGACTGCAATCCTGATCCCAGAGCATGAGCTACAAGGTTCACGAAGTAAAATGAAAACCCTTTAATCCAGGAAGGAGTGCCAGTCTATCCGGCACATTCCAGCTTCACATTTCACAGGAACAGCTTTTATCCCGTGAACACAACAGCCTATTACCACGCACAGCAGATAAGGAGGCTCCTGTCAGCACTTTGAGTTTCAGGGCTAAGTCTGCACTTTCAAAACCTGAGACTAGAAGGGTAAAGGTCCTATTTACTGTACTCGCAAGGGAAAAACCAACAGCCAAACACTCAATTTTTCTGTGGCAGAAGGATTTTTGACATGTAACTGAACAGGAATTAACATAAACAAAAGAAATAAAGTTCTCAAAAGAAAAAGGACCAATTTCTCCATTGAGCAGCATTGCCTAGCACACAAATTAATAAGCATGGCTTGGCATTTTAGCAGGGGAAAGGGCTCTTCTAGGTACAATAAAGTTCTTTTCTGACAGTTGATAATCAATGTCCAAATGCCAAGAGCTAAATGCTGAGCCATAATAAAAATTTTAAATGCACATGAAACGAAATTACCTTCTGGTTAAAACCAATTTACATGGTACCAGAAACGACCCTTTGTCGCTGAAGATCTACATTTGGTGAGGCTAAAACTAGGTCAGGTGCTGAGCAGTGTAAAAAGAGAGAAAAAGTGAGAAGTGCCTACCTTTGTACCAACTGTTATATCTTGGACAATGCTGTAGAAAAAAGAAAGAGAAGGATTAAAAAAGTTAGATAGGTTTGCCACAAATATCCAGCATAGTTCACAGTAGTAAGAAAAAAAGCAAGTCAAAGTGCACAGTTGTCTTTGCGAGTGAGCCAAGGACAGTTTATACAAAGAAAAATTATGAGATGGTGACGGGGGAGGCCCAAGACCCAACAGCGCTAGAAAACTGCAGCTCTTCCATAGCGGAGCTTGCTCGTCTTGCAAGGGCACACGGGGGACCGAGACCAAAACCCCAGTTACGCAGCCTAGCGTTCTCCATGGGAAAGCGACGGATTAGAACCCCACCTCTGACTGAACCAAGGGCAAAAGCATCAAGGGCCAGCTCCATCACCAGCATTCGCTTCTGCAGTTCTTGGCAGCCTTACAGCCGAAGGAGTAAGCTCTGCTAGGCTGCGAAGAGGCCATCTCTGGTGAAGTTATCGAGTCAACAGCGAAGGCTGCTAACGCCGGAGCTCCAGTGGTACCACAGGCAGCCAGCACGCACCGCACCGCGTTGGGGCTGTCCTCAAGCCAAGCCAGGAGCCTGTGCCAGGCTCGCAGCAGCCTCCGGCCACGCCAGCACCGCTGGAGCCAGACCAGCGCCGCACCGACGGAGCGTAATTAGGGAGAGCGGTGAAGAAGTCCAGGCAGCTCCCAGACTGGGGTTTGCCCGTACACCAGGTCCCTCTACCAGTTCTTTACTGAGGAAAACTTAGTATTTTGCTCTAACACAGATCTGATGGGAAAAGCAGTCATTAAGGTCTACCATGTATGCTTAAACCTCCTAAAACGAGCCTCCCCAATTAACTAGCATAGAAAATAGTTAGCTGTACCTCAAGCAACTCGTGCTAGCCCTTGTCAGCAGCGAACATTGCATATCACAACAGACATCGACTCACAGCAACTTCTTTCACTGATGGGATCAGAATGACTCCTCTACAGCCTGGCTTGTTGTACCTGGGTCATCTTCCCGAGCGCTGCAATACCTACACGTTCCTCCTTGTGGGAGCGCTCCAGGCAGCCTAAGGATTTCGGTTATACCCTTGCACTGAAGATTTTATCTTTTTTTTTTTTTTAAGTGAACTCCAAACCACTGCAAAGCAGCAACGTAGAACTGAGAGCAGAAAGGATCATTTGAGATTGACAGATATGCAGTACTGCCTGCTTCAGCGCCTATCTTCCAAATAGCTGACCACAATTTCGGAGCAAAGGATCCAGGAGCGGCCGGCTAACAGACCTGCAGCAACCCTGAGCAAACAGGGCCGAGAAGCAGAAGGCAGGCATCCTCACAACGGCAGCCTGAAACCTCAAGTACTCAAGAACAAGCCTACCAAGCAGTTTAATGCTACAGAACTTGCATTTACTGGTCCCTCCTTCCCTGCCCTCCTGCAACAATTCACAGCTTTTCAGGGAATTAAATACTGATCAATCTTGTTAAGTCATTCGCGTTCCAGCAGCTCCACAAATAAGCCGTAACGCAAGCACGAGCCAGCTCCGGCTCCTCGCGCTTCCTCATCAAAACCATCCTGCCATGTCATCACACGCCAGCAGCTTACGGCCGGGGCTGCAGGCCGCTGCCGGCGCGG